ATAAAGGTTTTCAGTGTTCACACATTCTAATACTGTACATGTACAATGACCATACATCCCTCTTTGCCCAGAAAAGTTCTGAGTTATACTTGTTGTCCAAGCTTGTGGAAGATTGCATCAATGTACCCAGTTCTTCACCCTTCCCTCTACCCATGTCCTTTGCTACATATCTTTGCTATGTTACTCCACTCTAGGGGCAGCATACATTTTTATCCCTTGATTCTGGTCTTGGCTATGGATTTTCTTTGGACAAGATACGACTCAAACAGAAGCTTGAAATACATTGAATATTTTAATAATAGAATTAAGGTTCTTTCAGTACTTGAGAGTGGATAGAAAAGCCGCAATCTCCTTCTGAAATTTCAAAGTTAGGGAAGAAATAATTGACAGAAAATGGAGGAAAACATCCAGCTGTTTCAATTCACTAGCTTTTCATTCAACTAACAGCTGAAAACAGGGCCAAGCCCGTGGCGCACTCGGGAGAGTGCGGCGCTGGGAGCTCAGCAGCACTCCCGCAGCGGGTTCGGATCCTATATAGGGATGGCCAGTGTGCTCACAGCACTCACTGGCTGAGCGTGGTGCAGCCGGTCTCATAAAAAACAAAAAAAGAAAAAGGACCAAAAAAATAAAAAATAAAAGCTGAAAACAGGAGAATATTCTTTCCTTGGTCACCATCAGTAAGAAATAAACTATCCAAGAGCGTGGAATAGGGGCAGCAGAGAAAATGCCAGATATATCTTGTAAATTAAAAATATCTCTTGATACAACTATCTATCTATTCCATAATAGGATTGGACATAAAAGTTCATGTTTACTGTTTTATTATGCCCAGTGCCTGGTATAAGGCCTGTACGTGGGGCTGCTCAATGACTATGTGAAAAATAAATAAATGGATTATTGGAAATCATCCTAAAAAATGCTTATTCATTTATTTATTCATACCATAAATAATTGTTGAGAAACTACAATGAACCATGCCTACAGCAGGTGCTAGAAACATAGCTTTGAGCAAAATAAAAAAATTAAAAAGTAAAATCACAGCCCTTATACAGCTGATAGTCTGGTCTCAAAAAACAGAATAAGTGAAGTGCAAAGTGATCAGTTGATACTAAGTGCTATGGAGAAGAAAAAAAATATATATATATATAAAATGGGAGGTCATTACAATTTTAAAGAGGTGGTTAGGGAAGGTCTCACTGGGCGGGGGGGGCATTCGAATAAATTTTTGAAGGAAGTGAGGGTGTGCCATGTAAATACGATATTGAGAAATAGAGTGTTCTGGGTGGAAAGAAGGCCATGTGCAAAGCCCCTGAAGCAAGAGTGTGTTTGATGTACTTCAGACACAGCAAGGTGGCTATTGTGGCTGGTATAGAATATGGGCGAGAGAGACTATTAGGTGAAGAGCTTGGATAGTTCAAAGGGGCCAGATCTTGTCAGGCTGTATATACCGTAGTTAGAACTTTGGCTTTTATTCTAAGTAGGCTAGAAACACTTTTGAGAAAAGAAATGGGAGGATATGGCTTCTGTTTTAAAAGTATCCCCTCTCGTTATTGTGCTGAGAATATACTAGCAGGACAAAAAGGTAGAAGCCAGGGGAAGAGATTATTAGAAATTTCAAAATTAAAGATGATGGTGCTTTGACACTGGTGGTAATGGTGAGAAGCAGTAGGATTTTGAATACATTTTGAAAGTCTGACAGACAGCATATATTAGAAAACTAAACGTAAAGAGTAAGAAAAAGAAAAGTTGAGAATAACTCCGTGTTGTTTACAAGAAAAAAAGGAAGGATGGAGTTGACATTGCTTGCCTTGTGTTCCGACTATGAAATGCTCTCTCTTCCTACAAATAGAATATTTAGACATCTAAATGTTCTACCCGTATATATTTGTTTGGGTTACCTATTTCTAAACTTCAGAAACACATGACTCATTTCTGTAATGTCTTCTAAAATAACTCAGGAAATATAAAAATTAAACTCATAGTAGTATAAGATGTGGATGAATTACAAAATCCTTGTGTAAAAGAATTTATTTTCAGAGCAGAGACATCAGGAACTACCTTTGACTACCCTAAGTTCTTGGGGAAGAAGTGTGAAAAAGGCAGACATCCAAAATAGAAGAAGGATTCTGAGTCTTAAGATTGATACTACCCATTTGGATTTTGAACTGCTCTTAACGTTTTTCCTTCAAAAAATAAAATGGAGAAATAACAAATAACAGTGACAGTTGGGGTAAAAATTGCATTGTTGTAAACATCTGCTGTGACAATTTATTAATAGTCTGAGAAAGAGCATTACATTTTTGGAACAGCAAAATGGAGAGTTGGAACTAGTATATAAAAGGCCTGGTTTCAAACACTGGTGCCATCACTTACTGTGAGGGTTTAAAAAGAATACTTGATTGAGTTTGGAGTTTCAAATTTTTTCTCTCCAATAGGATAGTAATAATATCTTCCTCATGCCATTAGTGAATGGAGGTTAAGTGAAAAAAAAAATAAATAATGCATACAAAAAATGGTTTACACAGCTCCCAGACTATGGCAATTTCTTATTTGTATTACTTTGCTCCCTGTCAAACAGTAACAACAAAAACAACAAAATAATAATCTTAGGTAGGTATAAGTGAGGAGGCAAAAAAAGGCACTACTCTACTTTTCAAACCAAATAAGACAGGAACTGAAAAAAATTGCTGCAGAAATACCAATAAGAAATATGGACTTGAGGCTTTTTTAGGTTGTAAAGAGACTCTGTTAGCCTAATTAAGATAAAGGGACCTGAACTGGCCTAAGGGAAACTCTCAGTGATAAAATTATGAGAACACACAGATTTGTGCTGAATACCTCTCAAAGAACAGAACCTGAGGGCATATTCAAAGAATTGACAGTATTATAATTGATTCTAATAGATACTTTAATATAAACACAGCAGAGAAGAAAATTGGGCCATTAGCATCCATGTCATTATTATTAATGTGTATTTGCACATCTTGTCATTAAAATTTCTTTTTAACTAATACATGTGTTAGTTTTTCTATTAGTCATTTATTCTTATGTTTAAATATTATTTATAATTTGTAAATGTTCCTAAACCAGCACTATCCTGGCATTGATTTGAATTTTATCATGAAATGATTGTCCAACAAAAAATAAAATAAAGAAAAAAGCAAATAAATAAGCAAACAAGGCTGGTTAGCTCATTTGGTAGAGTGCGGTACTAATAACACTGGAGTCAAGAATTCAGATCCCATACCAGTCAGCCACCAGAAAAAAAAAAAAAAAGCAAATAAAAAATAAAAGATTGTAATTTGCATTCAATTCCCCAAGTGCCCCAGCTATACCTTCTCAGGGAACATTCTCTGTACTATAATCTTCTGGAGGCAACACTGCAAGAGAGGTGTGTGGAAGTTTTTCTGTGTTTCACTTGAAAATTGTCATACATCTCCAATGCTATGTAAAATGAAGTGATTGTTGCAAATAGGACTCTTCAAGTCCAAATGTTCTTCATGTGGCCCAATTCTCAGTTTTTCCCTTGCAATAACAGGGTTAAAGTTTTGGAGAAATATTTTTTAAAAGAACATTGCAGAAGTTGCTGCTACATCAAAAATCAGCTTAGTTACTATTAAAATTATATTTAACAGATTTGTTACATCCAAACTTCTATTTTTCAGTTGGCTATACACAGATGTGTATCTAAAGGAGGAAGTGCGTGACTTTCATCTTGTCTTGATAATTTTATGTTGATTACAAATTATATAGATGGAAGGAATGTGAAATAAAGTGTGATGAAAGCCAAGAAAAGAAGGGGATAGCATAGTTCAATGGCTGAGAAAACCAATTTTGGAATCAGAAAGACATGTGCTCAAATCAGAGTTTCTCAGTTTATTAGCTGTGTGACCTTTGGCAGTTTACTTAACTTCTCTAGGTCTGTTTCCTGATCCTAAAAGGATTCTTAATACTCCCGTATCACTGGATTTAAATATTATACTTGGTCAATCAATTATGTTATTGCCTTCTTCATATAATAAGCACTAATTATTATTAATTGTTTATTGTGGGTGTTATTTTTATCATCCTTAAGAAAAGAAGTAAGATAATTTATCTGTAATTGTCAATATCCACTCTTGGCTAATTTCAGCTCACAGTTTCCCTGTGGCTCAGTTCTTCCCTAAGAATAAGGAGCGAACTTATGAATTGGAAAAATGTAAGAAAACGTGTGCTAAGAAAATAAAGCTTTAGGCCTAAGTGAACAGAGAAAAGGGGCTGACCAATTCCCTCTTGGAACAATATCCTCTCTCAAAGATGGATTAAGAGAGGGATCCAGGCTTCGGCCAAGTCTTATGGAGGAGACCCAACCCTATTCCTCTTATTCTTGCTAATGGTCTATAGGTCACTTGCTCCTGCTTCTTATTTGGTCCAGCCTTTTCTTGTCGTAGAACGTCAGATGTGGACTTGGTCAGGACATAGGTGATTAAGCTTTCCTTTTGTCAAAGGACCTAAGTCTCCATCCCCACACACCTGATGAGTAAAAATGTTTCTGAGGGACAAAAATCCTTTATGCAAGAACATCCTCTAATTTCTAAGCTTCTATGTGTACATTAAGCAGCAGCTCCCTTTAGCAAGTATAGTTACTTGTTACATAAGCACATTCTTGAGGCAGAATCCTGTGGGGATCACAAGATTCCTTCGGGATCGAGGCTATTTTAGACAGCCTAGAGCAGGCCCAGAGACTCCCTTTTTAAGAGAGAGTAGGTAAGGGAGGGCAGAAGGTAGAGATGGAGGTTGGGGGAGATTGAAGTGGGGACAGTGGAAGACAGCAAGGCCGCCGGGAACCCTGGTGATCTATGGCCTCCCAGGAGCCGCTGCTGCCCCTGTGACCACTGCAGACCCGAACTGCCACCTCGGCCACCGTAGCTGTTCTAGTCGCCGCAGCTACTGTTGCCAGGATACGCAAAGCGGCGGCCGGAGCCAACCGCAGGTCTGGTGTGGTGAGGCCGGAGGTGGACATGGCGAGCAGACGGCGCCACATCAAAGTCTGTTTTCTGGATGATGAAGACGAGCGCTGGGACCAAGTAGGTACCAGAAACGTCTCATGGGCTTCCACTGAGGTGGTCGAGGTGCCTGACTGTGAACTCAATGGGCTTGAACAAATTGCTGCTTTAGTTACGTCGGTTCTCCCCTCGCCTATCGGCAAGGAAAGACTGGCTCCAGTCCTGGAAAATGAGGACTATATTAAAAAACTATTGCAGCTGTTCCACACTTGTGAAAATCTAGAGAACACTGAAGGCTTACACCATTTACATAAAATTATTAAAGGAATGTTATTCTTCAACAGCTTATCTCTGTTTAAGATCATATTTTCTGATGAGTATATCATGGATGTGATTGGATGCCTTGAATACGATCCTGCTTTGGCTCAGCCAAAACGGCATAGGGAATTCTTGAGCCAAACTGCAAAGTTCAAGGAAATTATACCAATAACAGACTCTGAACTTAAGCAAAAAATACATCAGACGTACAGAGTACAGTACATATATGACGTTTTTGTGCCTCAACCACCCATATCTGCAGATAATCTTTCTACTCTTAAACATTTTATTTTCCTCAACAAGGTTGAGATAGTCAGCATGCTGCAGCGAGATCGCAAGTGCTTGTCTGAAGTGTTGGCAAATTTAAATGATAAGACTCTAGATGATGACAAACGGCGTGAGTTGGCCTTTTTTCTCAAGGAATTCTGTGCATTTTCTAAGGTATTAGAGCCTCAAAAAAAGGAAGAGCTATTCCAAATGCTGACACAATTGGAAATTCTTCCTGCTCTTAAAATCATAATGAGTGCTGATGATTTGTTAATAAGATCAGCTGCTACAGATATATTTACTTATCTAGTTGAGTACAGTTCATCCATGATCCGAGAACTTGTAATGGAGGAAGCAGAGAAGATGGAAGATGATGACCTTTTCATTAATGTAGTAATTAAACAAATGATCTGTGATACTGATCCTGAACTAGGAGGTGCTCTGCACTTGATGGGATGTCTTCGTACTTTGCTTGATCTCAACAACATGCTGTCAGTATCTAATAAAGTAAGATGTGATTTTCTGAGTTTCTTCTATAAACATTGTATGCATAACTTCATAGCACCACTTTTGGCCACTACTTCAGAAGACAAACATGAAGGAGATAATACATTTACTTCAGAAGACAAACATGAAGGAGATAATACATTTACCAAAAGCAAAACTTGCCCGAATAATTACCAAACAGCACAGCTGCTTGGTATAATTTTAGATCTGCTCACGCTTTGTTTACAACATCATGCATATTACATAAAAAGCTTTATTTTGGTAAATGATTTGCTAAGAAGAGTCTTGATTTTGATGAATTCAAAGCACACTTTCCTGGTCTTGTGTGCTGTTCGCTTTATGAGAAGGATGATTGGACTTAAAGATAGATTTTATAATAGTTACATCATCAAGGGAAATCTTTTTGACCCAGTTGTAAATGCTTTTCTGCATAATGGAACCAGGTACAATATGTTGAATTCAGCTATTATTGAGATGTTTGAATACATAAGAGTGGAAAATATCCATTCTCTTATTGCACACATAGTCGAAAAGTTTTATAAGGCATTTGAATCCATTGAATATGTTCAGACCTTCAAAGGATTGAAGATTAAATATGACCATCAGAAAGACAAAGGAAGTCAAATACAGAATTACTTACATTCCATACCATATAGTAAAATACCTCACGGAGATGCCAAAGTCTCAGAGCTAAAGGAAGAAATGTATTTTAAAGAAGATATGGGAGTAACAGTCATGCCATCTTTGGAAAATAACTTTCCAGATTATTATGATCAACTTACGGAAACTAAAAGAACAAAAGAAAATTGGAACAAGGTAGACCTTCTCAAAAGAACATCATCTGGTGACTTAAAAGTTTTTTCATCTCCTTCTGCTGGTGTTGCTAATGGAACAAGGAGCCCAAACAGTGAAGGTGAAGAAGAAGATAAAGAAGAAGAAACATCCCCCAGGAAAAGACCTTATCTTAGCAAGTAAAATCTTTATGGAAGGCCCTCAACATGTGCTTCAACTAAAATTCTATAAATTTCAATGAGCCAAAAAGTCTGATTCCAAAAGCTTTTTCATGTGAGATATACAATAGCATATATGACGAGCTTAAGAGGGTTCAATTCTGTAAAAAACAAGGTTTTCCATAATCTTAAAATAAAAAAAAAAAAAAAAAGAAAAGTAACCAGACTTGATTTAACATGTTAGCAAGAAGGTCTTAGTTTGGGGGAAAACACAGGTTGATAAAGTAATATTAATGTAGTTTTGTTTCAAGGGATTATATTAGAAACAACTGCAACAGTTCTTGCAAAGTCTACTTGCATAATGGTTCTAGCCATGGTATTCTTCCCTTTAGTTGCCTTTTTTGAAATAAACGTTTATGTTTATATGGACAACAAAGTCAACTACAATAAAAAATAAAGTTATGCTGTCCAGACATTTCTGCAAACATTTAACAAAAATTCATCCTGATGGGTAGAAGGAAGTAACTTCCAGAGTGTATTTCCATGAATAAAAAAAGCAAGCTGAATTCAAAATGTGCGGTTGTTGATATAATTTTTTTCTTAGATAAGAGATGGCAAGAAACAGTTTGGTGGTATTCTCTAGGACCTTGGGAGTCAGTAGAACTGAGTACTTTTAACTGCCTAGATTGTGAAAGATATTTTAAGTCATTTCCTGATTCATTAATGAAATTTGTCCTTTCTAGAGCAGAGGCAAGATTTAAAGTGTAATTTATAAAGACTATCATACAAAAAAAAAAAAAAAATAGTGCTGAAAGAAGTGGCATTTCATATCTTGAAGCCATTTTGAGCCAAAAAAAACAACTTAAGTGTCAAAGTCAGCATAATGCACATGAAGTTTTTTTCTGTAAACAAATAAAGGTACTTTATTAAAGAGTATATGCAAATGAATCTCTAAAAATAAGTTGTAGCAAAGAGTTAACAGGATTTATTTCTAGAGGAATAAGTTAACTTATTCTGTTTCTCCTGGAATTGCTTAAACTGAAAAGCAGTTTCTCATATTTTGAAGATTTCAGAGTTAATGTTAATTTGTGCTGTCTTTGTAGATAGAAAGTATAGTTTTCTATAAAACAGATATTTATTTTGCATATTAAAAATATCACTGTACTTTTTTTGTACCGTTGGTGATATTCATGCTGAACTATAAAATTTAGGAATTAAAATGTGACTCTGTAATTCTAAAAATAAAAGAGACCATATTAAATTTACTATTGTGCCAACAGGAGACACAGTTTATGCAAAACTAAGAGACTTGTGGAAAAGTTACAAAGAGACTATATTCCTAAGAACAACAAACAATAATTTCATCAGATATAACATCTCCTAAAGTGTGGACATGACCTCAGGAGATATAATTGTACATTACAGAGGACACAACACAGTATGGAAACTTCATTTTTACACTTCTTAAGCCATGTTAGTTAAATCAAATGTTGTACCGGGATTATTTACATTGAGATTATATGTTAAAAAACATAGTTTGTTAGAAAAGAATTTCATGTTTTCCTTCTGGCTAGACTGTCATGAGGACGATTTTCTTTAGTACACACATACACAGAGTTGTGTTTTGAAAAATATGTTTAACTCTTTATTGTGGTGGATGTAGACCAAGAACCTTAGCAGAGCAGCTATTCACAACTAGGCAGAGAAGAAAATTTCTGTTTTGACGTTATTTCTGTTTATTCTGTTCCTAACAGCTAGTTTTAGTCTGACATAAAAAACAAACAAACAAAAAACGGACACTGTAGGATTAAAAAAAAGGAAAGAATACTGGCATTTCTTGCTGTCTTTTTCCCAGTGAATTTGTAAGGAAAGATAAAAGAGGGCTTAGAATAATGGGAAGTAAAAATAAATACATAAATAAATAAATAAAATGTAAAAAAAGTAAAAAAAAAAAAAAAAGGACAGGCATTCTATTGTGCTGTTTAACCTTTGTGAGCCCTTTTCTAGTCTCAGCTACTTAATGTTAGTGGAACCAGTGTGACAAGCAAAATGGTGCAAAGGCAAATTGCCAACCAGATGGCATAACCTACTATTAAGGGAACATTTAAGAGGGTGACAAAACACAGAAGAGCAATCCTTACTGTCTACACGCTGAGTGAAAAATTGATCAAAATGTTCGGTCTCTCTAGCTGTGGTGTGTGAGAAGAGAACCATGTCAAGAATGTTTAATTTCATCGTTAAGTTTTTTAGAAGTAATTTCAAAAGGACCCTTAAGTAAGTCATTTATGATATGAAAAGAAGAAGCAGTTTGACACGGCCCTATATTAACTATAAAATTCAGGCAGGCATTTTTGGAGAGGTGCCCTGGACTCATCAAGGTTTTGGCTTTAAACACACAACTTCCGGTAGTTTTTATGGCTTGGTGACTTTCTAAATCCACCAAAAAGAGAAGGGTGATATAACAGATAAAGCAAAAGCTTTATATTCAGACAGGCTTTGATGATAATGTAGGCTCGGATGCTTACCAATTCCACGACCTTAGCCAATTTACTTGTTTTCTTCTCTAGCCACAGCTTCTCTATTTTGTCTTAAAAATTAGAAACTATGTATAAATTACCCAGAACATATTTAGTACTCAAGAAATAGGTTTTAAAACTCATTTTCAACAATGGCAGCAGTATAATCATTCCTAAGAAGATGAGGGATAAAGCCAGCTATAACCATTTACATCACAAATTATGCTTAAAAATTAATAATCTTATATTCTGGATCCAATTGACAGCAACATAATAAATTAAAAATTAATGAGTTCAGTTCTGGTTGGCGGAGAAGTCTATGTGTATGCATTGGGACCTGCTGAGGTACAAATGAAATTTTAAAAAGTAGATAGAAAAATAAACCCTCCTATAGCAATGAAGACACTTGGGTAAAGTGGTATCTGGCATGTTGAACAAGGAATGAGAGATGACAGGAGTGAAGAGTGAAACTGAAATTAGGAGAGTAGGAGGGGATGTGGGGAGGGAATTGAAGATTTGTAGAAGTGACAAAAGTTACTAAGCCTTCTTCCCTCCATGCCTCACCCCGGCAGGCGGAGCAGTCAACTAGAACGTATCCCTAGATAACAGAGTAAAGGTCCTTTCCCAAAAGCAATTGAAATAACAGGCAAAGCTGAGGGCCTTAGTATGGCTGTCATTGCCTCAGAGTTAAGTCCTTCTATTTAGAGTGTTTGAGGGTCTAAGATGATGAAAGTTTACTACCCCTAAGATACAACACAGTGTTTTTGGGAGCTGGGAGGTATAGCATTAGTCTGTTCCATGAAATGACTGAGATTGGGAGAGGATTGTGTGTGAGAGTGGGGAAGGAGGTACAGGAGCTGGAAGCCTCCCCTGCTGCTTCTGATAGACCTCTCAAAAGGTAAAGGGAACTGGTGGTCAGAGCCATCTGGCTGAGGGTGGCAGACCCAACAGTCAGTTAAATTGACGGTTCTTGCAACAGTTTAGAAGAGCTGCACCAGAATGTTCCTTGGGGAGAAAGGCTCCAGCAGCAGTACTAATAGACAAAAGTTATTAATGCCCTTCCTCCCTTGTACAACCCTAGATGCTGAGTTGTTGCTCTTTTTCCACCCTCCACAACACCTGTGTCCCATTCCAGTAACTATAACTTTGATCATTTTCCCCCCAATTATACTCTACGCTGACCTAAACCTTTCATCTAGAAAGATCATGTGTAAGAGGGACAAGAACATTTTAATAAAAGGTAACCAGAATTAAGTTTGGATCTCATAGGCCCCATTTTTGCCAGGCTGCTATTCACAGGGTGTACCAATTAGGCTGGCCTGGAGAAAAATACATGCATCATGTCCAGGAATGGTCAGGATATAATTCTAAATTTTCAAAATAAATCTATACAATTTGTCACCCCTTTAGTCCTCATCACTAGCTGGGAAGTGGCTAATGTGGAGTGATCCCTTTCTGGGGACAGACACATTCAATGACCAAATTGTCTTACTCTGAGGTAGGGTTTCTCGACTTTACCACTGTTGACATTTTGGACCAAATGATTTGGTGTTAGGAGGTCTGTACTGTGTATTGTAAAATATTAGCAGCATTCATGACCTCTACTTACTACATGCCGGCAGCACAAGCTCAGTTGTGACAACCAAAAATGTATCCAAAAGATGTTAAATATCTCTTGAGGAGGCAAAATCACCCTTGATTGTGAACCACTGGTTGAAAGATGTGTGGAGATTGATTCAAAGGCTTATTTTGTGGATGTTGGGCCCACTTCCACTAGCCTGAGTCACCTTCTCTATTTCCCTTCTACCTACAAAGGCCAAGTACATACAAGACTGCATAATGTACTTTGATGTAAAGAGAATGTACCCTGCTTAGAATTAGAGAGATCCTGATTTTGCTTTTCATTACAAGTGTAACCGTGGCATCTTATTTGACACCTATGGTTCTCAGTTTTCTTGTCTGTAAAGAATGCCAATAACATTGTTACAACTAATGTCCCCCCCCAAATTCAAATGTTGAAGTCCTAAATCCCCAGTACCTCTGTATGTAACTGTATTTGGAGATAGAGTCTTAAATAAATAATTAAATTAAAATGAGGTCATTAGGGTAGGCCTTAATCCAATATGATAGGAGTCTTTATAAGAAGAGGTGATTAAGGCAAAGACACAAAGGGAAGGCTGTGTAAAGACACAGGGAGAAGGCAAATGTCTGCAAGCCAAGGAGAGAGGCCTCAGAAGAAACAAACCCTGCCAACACCTTGATTTTGGACTCTTAGCCTCTAGAACAGTGAAAAAATAAATTTCTGTTATTTAAGTTCCCAGTTTGTGATAATTTGTTACGGCAGCCTTAGAAAACAAACACAAACACTGGATAGGAATGAGTTTGTGAGTCTTAAAGAATATATATTCTATGAATACCACAGAGTTATTATGAAAAAGAGTTCGCACATGAGATATGACAATAGGTATTCTTTATTCTTTATGTGTCAAGCACACTTTCCGAGGCCATT